TTAACTGTTACTTTCAAACCTTTTTCTCCTTAAGCTCCGCCCACCTTCTCTTCTGCCTTGTCACCATGGCAACCTATCTCTCACAGCTAGGCCATGGCCACGCATGTAAAACAATAATACAGTTTAAACACAGTACAATAAACCCTTTATAATAAACACTTCTCTACAAACCTTACAGACGTTAGTAAGCTGGGATGGAGATAAACTAGTCTGTGTACAGAAAGGTGAAAAGAATAACAGAGGATGGAAGCACTGGATTGAAGGAGACAAATTGCATCAGGTAAGAGTTGAAATCATTGGTTCAAGATGTATAGCAATGGCTACACTGCAATGAAGTTATGTGCCACTCCCAGGAATTAAAAAAAAATCCTTTCCTCCTCATTCTGCTTTCATAATTCTATGAAAAGTAATTTTGAAACTGCTTTGGTATCTCCTTTCTGTTCCATTATTCTGTTTTTTCCATCAGTCACTTGTCGGCTACGATGTGAATCCATAGAAACATCAAAACATGCTCACTAGGTGACTTTAGACTAGTTGCTGTTTTTTAAATAGTTGAAAGAATTAAATGAGACAACTTCATGCCTCGTCCCCTGAATTACTTGGATGCAGAAGGGTTGCAAATATTTATTCTGCCAGACTAGAAGGAGCAAGAGTCTGTCTTGGTTTGAGGCATATTACTGAGATCCAGGAGGAATTAAGATATTAAAAATTTAGCACCAGAATTTTAAAAACACATCAAAATAAATATATTTTACTGACTCTGAAGAGAGAGAAAATTTGATTTCCATTGAGATAGAACTATATAACCGGGATGCTGCCATAGGCCAGTCCTTGTTTTATGTTTTTGCCTTGGCAAAATTCATGTGGAAGAAAGTGGTTTTTCCCATATTCCAAAGCCAAGTGATTTAAAAGCAATTGGAATTTGTCCTGGAAATAAATTGGGAGTTCAAAAAGTAGTTTAAAACACCCTTGAAATACATATATCCTGGTTGCTGCATTTTGCAATACATATATCAAATAAACAAATTATCCAATTATGGAAAAAGAAGATCCTTATTATTATACCCTATTTCTGCAATAAAAAATATGATAAAGCTCCTTAGACTATAGGAAGCTTCAATGTTACCAAAATGGCATGACTGAGCTTCATCTGTCCCTTATGTGGGAAGAGTCATGGCCATTAGGCAGAGTGAGGCATGTGTTTCAGGCTGTTGTGCAGCAATGGCAGTCTTCTGTCTTTTCCTGGTAAGACTTCTCTTTCTTCCCAGCCTGTCCCCATTAAAATGCCCTATTGTCACCCTGAGGTACAGTGGAGGAGACTTTGCTATCACACTGGCCAACACACATTTTGGTGTCTCAAAGGTTAACCCTGTTTATGGGTATATTTGACCTGCTAATTCCATAAATGATGCCAGTTCTCCTCTACCAGCTCTAGTTTTTGTGAGACAGAATATTTGTCATATATCAGTCTTCATCTGCTCACCCAAAGAAAATAATGATAACCACAATTAAGAAACTAATGCTGATGGGATCTATCCATTGCAATTGTCAGCATTAGCACCCCAAATGACCCCAGGAAAAGACCTGAAAGCCAAAACACGAAGATTTTTTTCTGTAGGGCTGTGTTCAACGTAGAAGATTCAGCTCCAATCTAGTTTGCTTCTGCACATGGCTTTGTTTCAGGTAGCAAAATACAGTCAGCTACCCCAGCCCTCATCTGGCCATCCTCACTGACCCCTGGGCTCTAGATCCTCTTGAAAGTCATGACATTTCAGTAATTAATCAGTTACCATTCAGCAAGCCACATTGGCAAAAGTATAACAACTGCAGGAGTTTTTTTTCTATTTATGTTCTGGGAATGCCACCCACCTAATACATTCTAGATAAGCCATTTGAATGTGTGAGTCACAGTCTTTTAACTGCTGCTGCTGTATGTTTGTCTATATTGCATGTCTCTTGCTTTGTGAACCAGAACAAATATCATTCCTTACCCGTAACTTTAGTGTGTGTTTGTGACAGCAGCCGGGAGATTGTAACTCAAACATTTGAATGGGTTATCTGAAATGTATGGTTTTTTAAATTCCTACCACATTGATTTTATACACAATATTTTTATAATTTTGTGCACGAACATTTGTGAAGTTTTGACTTTTATACAGGTCATGAACTGTGACCTGGATCACTGCCTCCTTTATACAGATGGAGAAACACTATGCAACAGCTTTCTCCCTCATCTTCAGTTAATTACAAAAGAAAGAACGAAAGAGAATTCCAAGATGATTATCTCTCTGCAAAAATCCTCTTAGAATATGTCACTATCTGTTTTGTTGCTGCAAACACTGTGGTTCCAGTACAAAATTGATTATTTGCAAACACTGTGGCTCCAGTAGAAAGGAGTAAGGAATTAATTTCACATATTTACAATAATAAGGGTGAAGATGCCCTTTCATATGCTCATCCTAAAGGTTTTTATAATCATAAAATTCTACCTTCATTCATACTATGTGCGCGAACCTATTTACACTGAAGTCAGTAAGTTGTATTTAAAAATCACATTTGCATTGATGGAAAAAATACTATGCTATCCTGCTCTGTGACAGATTTAATTTATTTCATTACAAAACACATTCAAAATGGACCAGTAATTTCATTGGATAGATTTGTAACAAACAGTAGAACCCTCTAGGTTACCATACACATTCTGTAAACAGTGGGCTGAGAAACCAAAAGAACACACTTACCTCCTGTTATCTTTAAAGCTTTTCCTTCCCTCCTTTTACAATTTCCTCACTGCTTCACTGAGTTTAATAAATTACAGTATGTTGGTTAATAATAAACTATGCAATGTCCCACTGTTACAGAGCAATTTCCATACATTTTTCATTTTAATCCTTTTTAAAACTCGATTCAAGTGTCAAAATCTAATTACTGCAACCTGTAGTGCTTGCTGGCTGATTGGTTCTGTAAAATACACTGCTCTTTTCCTTTTAATATCCCAGCCTCGCTGTTAATGCAGCAGCTCAGCTGTTTTATCTTTGAGTTTTTGGAGAGAGATGATGAATACAGGAAATACAAATAAAAAATGTCTGGGCTCACCAATGGCTTTAATGTTGCAGGAGCTGACATGTGAAGACCAGGTGTGTCATCAGATCTTCAAGAAGAAACAATAAATGGATTAGGATTTGATACAGCTCTGCAATGTGTAATTGTTACATGATACATTATCCAAAATGAAGTGAAATGAAATAAACTTAACCTAGTTCAAAATCTTTTGCTTTATAAAGTTTAAAAAGTTCTTAAAATAACACCAAACATGAACTTTTTAAAAAAAAATGTTTTCTGAGTATGCTTTAAATAATGTAAATCCTTGTCTGTTAATTATTCTTATTCTTCTTTCTCAAATACTGGTATTTTTTCAGTCACCAAAGAGTGGTCCTCCAGCAACAATGCAAAAAATAAACACAATTAATCTTGACAATGGCACATCACTCCATGATATTCTAATACATGAAAACACTTTGAACATGTCTAGAGGCAAAGGCTGTGTGCACTGTAGCCCCCCTCCCCATAGCTCACAAATGTAGCTCTGGGTTACCAAGCTTCTAGTTGCATTCAAAAGAATGGCTCAACTCAACAGGATGGTAATAAGATGCAATGCCACTAGGATCTAAATCACTAACATAAATCTGGAGTGTGTGCCTGCAGACATCATTATTATTCTCTGATCAATCTCCTTATGCTTCCAGCTCAGGTTTAGCAGGAAGATCTCAAAGAAAACTAACTTCACAGAAATGCTGTAAGATGGATTTAAAAAAAACCAATGGAAACTTTGCTAACTCAATGAGAATGCTCTATGCCATTAAGAACAACATGAATTCAACCAAATTGCAAGGCCCATTCACATGACACAATTACAGTATTATGCTCAGCATTAACTACATGCTGTACAATCATGAGTTTTGCAGTTTGATATTACAGAGAATTCTAGGTGCAATCTGAAAACTCAAGGATTTCATACCACTTTGCATCTCTCCCATGATTTTCCCATCCTGTTATGTTCCCACTATCTACTGCGGTTCAATGGGTCCATTTGCCTTCAGAGCCATCATGCCAACAGTAAAGTGACATCAATAGCCTGGAATATCCTCTTCACTCTCTCTCCCTCCTCGCCCTTGCTATTCCTAAAGTGGCTGCTTTGATTAGATAGATAGATAGATAGATAGATAGATAGATAGATAGATAGATATTGGATTTCACAATTGCATTAAAAATAAAATAATACTTTAAAAATTAGGAATGAACTGCAAAGCATGCTGGTAATAGTGAAGAAGGTAGAGTTACAAGTGTGTGCAAAAGACCATGCAATTTGTTTCATAAAGATCAAGTAGACAGAACATATGGTAAAGAACAAAAATAACTTTCTGGCCTTGCATTGCACATTTTAGTGCAAATATTAAGACACAAATAGTGTTCAATTCAGCAAGTGTGTGACCATGGATTGGCAGACCAGTGTAACTACTGAATACAGGTGCAATTTCAAAAGAGGTCAATCTGATATGTTTCGAAAAACAAAACAAGACATGCCAAGTTGTTTTTTTATTCCAAGTACATTTTGGGTAAACAAAAACAACACAAACAGCAGCTGTCATTTCTACTACCACATGTGCTAAAATAATTTGAAACAACCCACACATGGTCACAGTGGTTATACTCCCTTGGCTTGGTTTTATGATGGGGTGGGAGGGAGACCTTGTGTTGCTTGTCTTCCCAATTCCAAATTGGATTAGATAGGTGTTTGGAAAGGACATATGATATGTACCTCAAGAGGACACAAACTGGAACAATAATAACTCACACTGAGACAGAACTCTAGTGTAGATTCACCTCTAGACTAACAAGCAAGCCTTACCAAAGAGCTTTCACAGGTTCATAGAACCTTCTTGAATCCTTTTATGACCCATTTTATATGACAGTGGGTATCAGAGTTGGAAATAATGTTTAAAAGAGAGCTGCATACAGCAGTGGAGCTATGTTTCAAAGCAGCTATTTGCAGATTCTATGTTCAAACCTATCTCTGTAGTCATAAAAAGAGAAAATCTACCTGGAAGCCACAATCCTTAGAAAACATATATGTAAAGGCTCTCTGATGTAGTGTCAGACAACAGACTTCAGGCAAAGAGAAATCTTGAGAGAACGTGAACAGGCCTCTTATGAAATATCTAGATATCATATCTGATGCTAGAAGAAATAACTCCTTTCGTGCAACCATATAATTGTGTTATCAATTCATCATACACTCAGTGGAGAATTTCCATTTTAAAATGTATCCAACCTGTTCTGTGTAACTTTGTCCTTTAAAATACCTGAATACCTTTGAAAAGGAAAATAGGATGTGTTCCTAGCTATAATGAAATATAATGGCTAGCATCTGTTGTACAATAATATCTGAATTACAGATGAATTCAGGACCAGAATAACACTAAGCAGAGTCATATTGTCTGCAAATGGGCAAGTAAAATTCTCAAAACATTTTATCACAGCTTCATGTTTGGGATGGATTACTAATGTATATGAACTAGAACTCAAATTAATGTAGAGGATGGGGTGCCCTGTCCATACTGGAAATTGCTTGTTTATATTCAGCTTGTCATGTTGAAGGTAGTTGTTGGATTTGGGAGATTAACTTTCCTCTACAGTATACATGGGGAATGCATGCACTTTAAATGATGTTGGACTTCAGCTGCTAACAATTGTAGGTGGGAGGGAGTGCTGCTTAATATAATGACAGCTAAAGGACCACACGTTGTCCATGTTATTCCAGGACAAGCTTGTGGACCTTTTCATAGTTTAACTGCTATGGTCCCATCTATGTAATTTTGCCATTCGAGAGAACAGTTAAAGTAGAATCATAGTAATTGTGTAGTGTTAAGAGGCACATGTTTAGACAGGCATAAATTCAACTGAGGTCATTGGGACATACCTCCCAACTCCTATACATAAGACTATAATGGTGAAAGTAACATTAGCAATGTGATCTAAGGAAGCTGAATTTGGCTTCCAAAATGTTTTCTAACTTCTGACTTTTGCAAAATGTGGGTATTATGTGACAGAAAAGACTAAAATAGTGTGCTGGTTCCATCAACAGTAACAAGCAACATTTAAGGGCTGAAGATACAAAAGGGGGAGTGGGCGCCATCCAGTGTTAATTTTCCATACTTTTAGAGTTGAAGTAAGGGCTGCCGTAGTTATGGATGAGAAGTATAGCACTGAAGTATGCTGAAATTATTAGTTCATGTACTAAGGTCACACAACAACTTTTTACTTTTACAGGAAAAGAAATGACCAAATATGCTCTAATTTTAACTTTGTGGCAAAGCAAAAACAACCAACCAGCCACTCCAGCACTTTTTTTTAAGAAAGCATAATAATGCACTTTTTCATGAACTTTGTGTCTTTTGGACATGTGCATTTTGAAAATTAAAACATATTGAGAACTATGCTGCAATCTGCAGAAGTACTGGATAGTTTCTACAATGCTTCCTATGTTCAATTTGCTATTAAACTAACACAAGTCTCTTCTTTTCAGCAGGTGAAACATGAGCATTCAAGAGGGGAAATGTTGAACTAATAAATCTTAGAATATGTGTTCAACATTTCTTAGCATTCAGGCAATGCAATATCATGTTAAACAATGCCTGATCCATTCTTCCTACAGAAATAGAAATGTAGGTCTACAGAAGGCTCTAAGTGAGCATTTCTCCACCATCCCCAGGTCAGCAGCATCCCATTCCCTGAGTTTTAAGACCAAAACTTACGACCAACAATTGGATTATATGTGCACAACGCCAGAGAAGCAGGGCAGTCAAGGATCTGGAAAGGGCAAAAACACCTCTGGGACTTGGTACAATAATATAATCTGAATAAATGGATCCAGAAGTAAGGGAAATTAGATAACAAAATAATATAACATATGAGTTGGTGTTTGGAGGTGGCATTTTTGTGACAAGTGAGTGGAAAAATGTGCCAGTGTGGCCTATGGTTTGACCACTGGACTACAACTCCAGAATGAGACTTCAAATCCCTGCTCGGCCATAGAAATCCTCTGGGTGACCTTGAGGAAGTCACACTGGTTTTGGCATTGCCTCCGAGGAAGGCAATGACAAACCCAGTCTGAACAAAATATTGCCAAGGAAACCCTGTGCTGTAAGTTAAAAATGATTTGATGGAACATAACACAGTGGAACACCACCCTCACTCAGACTCACAATCTTATGAACAGTGCACATGTTTGTCTAGGCCATACAGTAGGCTAAATCTAAACTACATCCTCTGTTGGGCATTTCAGTTTCAGCTGTGTTCTCTACCCAGAAGCATTCTTGGGTAAAAAAGTGAGACTAAAAGGAAACTAAAATTGATATGAAAAAAAGATTGAATTTGCCAGTACTGTGCTCTTTTAAAGTACTCACTATACAATCATAATAGATATTTTTGCCTGATTACTCAATAGCAAAATAATTATTTTTAGGTACTGAATGTAAAGTCTTTTCAGGGATAAAATGCAAAGATATATTATAAATCTACTATTAACAAAGCATTTTTGTTTTTTAAAAAAAACAAGTGTACCAAAAGAGATCTTTCATGCAATTAGTATTTTACAAAGTACATTACTCGGCATCAATGAAGTCAACACTGAGGTTATGTGTATTGTTTTCAGCATTGCTCTGCTGGAATCCATGACTACAGTTGCATTATAGTGTGCCATTATTCTGCACCAAAACATTCTTTTTTCTATTGTTGAGCTAAATTAAACTTATAGCCCCCCCCCAAAAAAAAAATCTATAGGCATTGTTAAATTCATACTGACAGGATAAGTTATTTTGTTTGATTTTTTAAAACTTTTTGCTATCTCTTTGTTCATTGCATTGTAAATCTATCCCCTCTTATGAATCAGGAGCAATGAAATAAAAATGCCAGTCATTTTATTCCTGATAGAATTTTGTAAGGGTCTGCACTTTCTGCATGGAGGAGGACTGAGGAGGAAGGTCACTGCCATTTTTTTCCTTTGAGCTGGCTCTCCAACTCTTTCCACCTGTGGTGGTAGTGGTGTGAGACAAGTGGGAATGTATTTCTTCACTATTTTTTTCCCTCAAAGGTGTCAAGAAATATTTTCAGTGATTTTCCTCTCACTTGGAGTAAGTTTTTGGAAATCATACAGTTTTAAATACAATTTTGCACGTGGGATGGTATTCTGTGTGAAATTTGCACAT